GCTCACAACCCAGGACACTCCAACCAACTGAGTCACACTGGCCAGGGCAGATGAGGATCACTTAAAAAAATAGAGCTTCATTGTGGTATGATTATTATCTGCATATATGTAAAGTGTACTATTTGATAACTCTGAGATATGTGTACACCTATGAAACTGTCACCACTATTAAGATAATGAACATATTCACCATCCTCAAAAGTTTCCTTGTGTGCTTTTGTATTCTTTCACATCCACTAATATATTTTCTGTCACGATACAGGGTGGGGCAAAAGTAGATTTACAGTTGTGAGTATGTGAAACGTGGAGTTCATTCTTATATTATTTATTTATTTTTTAAATATATTTTTTGATTAATTTCAGAGAGAAAGGAAGAGGTAGAGAGACAGAAACATCAATGATGAGACAGAATCATTGATTGGCTGCCTCCTGCATACTCCCCACTGGGGATCGAGCCCATAACCTGGGCATGTGCCCTTGGCTGGAATCGAACCCTGGGACCCTTGAGTCTACAGGTCAATGCTCTATCCACTGAGCCAAACTGGCTAGAGCTATTTATTAATTATTGTCTTTTTTTAAAAATTTTTTAATTAAATCTTTATTGTTCAGATTATTACATTTGTTCCTCTTTTTTTCCCCCATAACTCCCCTCATCCCAGTTCCCGCCCCACCCTTGGCCCTCACTCCCCACCCACTGTCCTCATTCATAGGTGCACGATTTTTGTCCAGTCTCTTCCCGCATCTCCCACACCCCTTTCCCCCCCAAGAATAGTCAGTCCATTCCCTTCCTATGTCCCTGATTCTATTATAATCACCAGTTCATTCTGTTCATCAGATTATTTATTCACTTGATTCTTAGATTCACTTGTTGATAGATGCATATTTGTTGTTCATAATTTGTATCTTTACCTTTTTCTTCCTCTTCCTCTTCTTAAAGGATACCTTTCAGCATTTCATATAATCCTGGTTTGGTGGTGATGAACTCCTTTAGCTTTTCCTTATCTGTGAAGCTCTTTATCTGACCTTCAGTTCTGAATGATAGCTTTGCTGGATAAAGTAATCTTGGTTGTAGGTTCTTGGTATTCATCACTTTGAATATTTCTTGCCACTCCCTTCTGGCCTGCAAAGTTTCTGTTGAGAAATCAGCTGACAGTCGTATGGGTATTCCCTTGTAGGTAACTGAGTTTCTTTCTCTTGCTGCTTTTAAGATTCTCTCTTTGTCTTTTGCTCTTGGCATTTTAATTATGATGTGTCTTGGTGTGGTCCTCTTTGGATTCCTTTTGTTTGGGGTTCTCCGCGCTTCTTGGACCTGTAAGTCCATTTCTTTCACCAGGTGGGGGAAGTTTTCTGTCATTATTTCTTCAAATAGGTTTTCAATATCTTGCTCTCTCTCATCTTCTGGCACCCCTATAATTCTGATGTTGGTACGCTTGAAGCTGTCCCAGAGGCTCCTTACACTATCCTCGCATTTTTGGATACTTTTTTCATTCCGCCCCTCTGGTTGGGTGTTTTTTGCTTCCTCACATTTCAAATCATTGACTTGATTCTTGCGCTCCTCTGGTCTGCTGTCGGGAGTCTGTATAGTATTCTTTATTCAGTCAGTGTATGCTTAATTTCTAGTTGGTTCCCCATCATAACATCGAGGGTCTCATTAGTTTTCTTGTAGATCTCATTAAGTTTATCGGCAGCTTCTAAACAGTTCTTGAGAGACCTTAAAAGTGTGGTTCTGAACTCTATATCTTCCATTGACAATTTTGTCCTGTTTCTTTGTCTCCGCATTTTGTTATGCTTTCTTGGTGCGCCCCCTAGAGGTCTTTGTGCGCGGTCTTGTAGTTAAGCCTTGATTGTTGTAGCTAATACCAGGGAGGGTTTGACCTCCAGGCCAAGTGGCTGTGAGAATCAGCTGTGTCTGCAGTGAGAGAACTTCTGTCCTCTAGGGGAGGTGCTAATCTAGCCTTTGCCTGAGGCTATCCGGCAAATGCCTCTGTGCAGGGCTTGGGTGGGGCGGGTCGCACAGGATCAACTGGGTGGGCCGGAGAGAGCATTGATTTTTTTACAGAGAGAAAGGGAGAGGGATAGAGAGTTAGAAACATTGATGAGAGAGGAACATCAATTCAGCTGCCTCCTGTACACTCCCTACTGGGGATGTGCCCGCAACCAAGGTACATGCCCTTGACCGGAATCGAACCTGGGACCCTTCAGTCCACAGGCCGATGCTCTATCCACTGAGCCAAACCAATCAGGGCTATTAATTATTGTCTTATTTTCCATACAAACAACTAGAAACCTACTTTTGCCCCATCTTATAGATTAATTTTTATTTTCTAGAGTTATTTAAATGGAATAATATAGTATGAACTTTTCTGTCTGACTTTTTTCACTTAGCATATTTGTTTATTGATTTTTACCATTTTTAAGCATAATTATTTTAAGTGTATCAGTAGTTCCTTCCTTTCTATTGCTGAAGAGTATTTCATTGTATGGATACACCTCAATTTATCCATTCACCTTTTGAGGGTCATTTGTTGTTTCCAGTTTTTGGCTATTGAAATAAGCAATAAAACTAGGAAATATAAATGGTTGTGTGGACACTTTTTTTTTTTTTTTTTTAAGAATGGAATGGTTTAAGTCATAGTGCAGGAATATGTTTAACTTTTTAAGAAATTGCCAACTGTTTTCCACTGTAGTTGTACTGTTCTACATTTCCACAAGTACAGACTGAGTTTCAGTTCTACATCCTTGCCATACTTGGTGTGGTCACTTTGTTTAATTGTAGCCATTCTAGTGGGTGTTTAGTGGTAGCTCATTTTAGTTTTAATTTGCCTTTCCTTAATGACTAAATGATGTTGAGCATTCTTTTATGTGCTTATTTGCCATCCTAGTATATTCTTTGATGAAGTATCTGTTCACGTACTTTCTTATTATAAGTTTTTTAATTGTGGAAAAATACACATAACAAAATTTGCCATCTTAACCATTTTCAACCAGTTAGTGAACAGTTCAGTACAATGGTAAGTACATTCACATTGTTGTGCAACCAATCTTTAGAATTCTTCGACTTACAAAAGTAGTTATCTATTTTTTAAAGTATTGCGTTGTTTTGACTTTTTTAACGTATTCAGATATAAATTCATTATCAGATATATGCTTTATAAATATTTTCTTCAAGACAAGTGTTTTGTCTTCTCAGGTTACTAGGCATCTTGAAATTGGTCATGGTGGGGAATGATTTACTCCACATTAATTAGCAAAGTGCTATAAATCAGGGCTTTTATTTTTTGTTGATTTTCTATCTTTTAAAAAAAATTTATATCACTTTATTCTATTTTATTTGAGAGAGGAAGAAAGAGACCCTAGATTAGTTGTTTCATTTATTTATACATTCATTGGTTGATATTTGTATGTACCCTGACTGTGGATCGAACCTGCAACCTTGGGGTATCAGAACAATGATCTAACCAACTGAGCTACCAAGCCAGGGCTTGATTTTCTATCTTAAGAAAGTAATTGGGAAAGGTTAATAATGCAAATTAAACTTAAAATTATGTTGTGTCTATAGCCTTTACATTATAAATAGCACAAAAAAGTGAGGAAGGAAATATTCTTTCTAGTATTTGCAAACTATTATCTAACCTGTAAAGAAGTTATTCAAGTCATTATTGAATGAGTGATGTGTTCATTGTTTCACTCTTGTCAGTTGCAGCCTTCCCTTGGCTATGAATAAGAGTCAAGCTAAAAATCAGTGGAAACATTCTTTATAGTCAGTTGGCTACATGGAATTTGCAATAAAGAGTATTACAAATATTTCAATTGTTTGTTGGGTTCTATTTAGGAAGTAGCGAGATTTGTGTGGTACATATCTTTTTAATTAAGTAAAATTTATAATAAGCTTATTTACATATGTATATACAGTGGGGCCTTGACTTACGAGTTTAATTCGTTCCCGTTCCAAGACCGAGCTCGTTAAGGAGCTCATTAACTCAAATTACTCTGTCAACTCAGTGCAAAAAATCTGCGGAGAGACAGCTGGTATCTCAAAAAACTCGTTAGTCGGGACCCTTGTAAGTCAAGGCCCCACTGTATCCCCCTTCTCTACCTGCAGAACCAGTTGTTAAAATTTTACCAATATACCACTGGCCACACATTAATGAGAAAACACTAAGGGAAATGTTTCTAGACATGTATCTTGAATGAGTCAAGAAAAAAATGAGTTCCAGAAACATTCAATAGGTGATAAGAGACCTAATCTGATGCTGAAACCAGAGGATAAGAGGGTTGTGTAATGGAGAGAGAAAATGAAAGGCATAATACACAGAAGGCCAAGTCAATTCTCTTTATTTAAAAAAAAAAATATATATATATATATATTAATTACTGATTTCAGGCAGGAAGGGAGAGGGAGAGAGAGAGAACCATCAGTGATGAGAGAAAATCATTGATACTGATAGGCTGCCTCCTGCATGCCCCCTACTGAGGATCTAGCAACTTGGGCATGTGCCCTTAACTAGAATCGAACCCAGGACCCTTCCTGACTCTCTATCCACTGAGCCAAACCTGCTAGGGCCCAAGTCAATTCTCAACACTGAAGATACAGAGGGAAGTGAGTTGTTAGTTGTAGGTTACTTGTTTTGGTCTGATTTGACTTGTTCTTGGTTTTATTATGTAATACTCTGTTAATGATATTGAAGAGGAATGTTAAAATCTCATACAGCATTAGTGTTACATTAGCCACTTCAAGTAAGCCTTGGTTATCTCCAAATCGAACTTTTCTTCTGACCCCAAAAATTACTTGATACTTTTAAAAATTTAAAGTTGGAACAGAGAACAATTATGTGTTTCCTATTATGGTCTAGAAGTTGCATTATTAGTTACATTGCTTTTTAAACTATACATTTGTTATGTTTATCATAATTATTATATTTCTTTCAAAAGTTTTTTTTCCCAGAGTATCTTGATTTTTGAATCTGATGATTAAGTTAAAAAAATATTTTGTTTTGTAGCCATGCAGGATATACATACTGTGGGTCTTGTGCTGCTCATGCTTACAAACAAGTGGACCCATCTATTACGTAAGTAATATAGAGACGATTTTGTTATGGGATAATGTTGGGAAGTATAATTGCTTTGTCACTGAAGTAATTTGTTTTGCATACTTATTGTTACTTTATACTCTATTTCATCAGGAATTTGACTTTTTATGAGTTTGATTATATCTTTTATAGGTTATAGAAAGCTTTAATACTATTTCCACTGTCGGAACCTTTAGTTTTTACCTTCCCTTTGGTTGGTAAAATGTTCAGTTCTGGAAATGTTAGAAGGTTAATGTGATATTGTAATTTATAAGAAATATATATTTGGTCTTACCCTTAGTCCACAGTTCCTGATGCACACACAGGGCCCAAACCCTTGGAATTACCTAAGTGTTGAATATGATAGAAGTATCTCTTGTGAGATATAATGAGGTGACTTTTGGATCCCAACTAAGGATAGGGGCTGGTTGCCAGGAGAAGCAATTATGATTAGAGGGTGGGAACTTTCCAGTCCCACTCCTGACCTCTGGGGAGTGAGGAGGGCCTGGAGGTTGAATCAGTCGCCAGTGCCCAGTGATTCAATCAGTCACAGCTATGTAGTGAAGCCTCCATAAATCCCCGAAGGACAGGGCTCAGAGAGCTTCCAGGTTGGTGCGATCCAGGGGAGAGCGGCACTCTCCTCCCTTTCCCCATACCTCACCCTGTGCATCTCTTCTAACTGGCTGTTCGTGATTACGTCTGCTTATAACAAACCAGTGATTTTTGTAACTAAAATGTTTCTCTGAGTTCTGTGAGCTGCTCTAGCAAATTGATCGAAGCTAAGGAGGGGGTCATGGGACCTCTGGTTTATAGCCAGTTGGTTAGAAGTACAGGTCAGAAGCCTGGCATTTGAAGTGAGGTTTGGGGAGCAGCCTGGTAGGACTGAATGCATAACCTGTGGAATCTGATGCTATCTCCAGGGAGAGTGTTCAAGAATTGCTTGTTGGAGGTGTGGAGAACCCCCTCTCCCCCATGTACTTTGGAATTGGGTCCAGGAACACTAACTGGTTTAAAAAATTTTGTTTGGGAAAACCTGGAGATGAACGTTTTAAAGAAAATACAAAGCCCTTTATTCTACTTTAATCATTTGTAACTTAAAATTCTTTATTGTAGTTCATAAAATAAGAATAATTTCTCATTGACAGAATAAGGTTCTCTGAATTATTTTAGAATTGGACATCATATTTCATATGATGTTTGAAGGATATAAGCATTTAATTTAAAGACAGCTCTGAAATTAGCTTTATAAAAACCTTTCTAGCAAATTGTGACTGAGTAGTATATTGCTCTCTAAAATGAGAAACATGTGAACTTTCAAAAATTTCTGCTGAAAATCGCTACCCAAATTACTAAATTTTCTGACCAGTATTTTGTTTAAATAGTTAATTTACTATATGTGAACCAGTATCAGGGTCCAATCTGTATTGCTAGTTGTTTCATATTATGTGAATAGATAAATTCAATCATCTTAATTGTTTCATGTTGATTGTTAGTAGTAATACTAGTAATAGCAATACATCTATCTCTACTAGTAGAGATGAAGCATAATCATTCAAAAGAAGTAACTCACAGCAGCCGTGAGTTTAAGAAGCAAGTCTCACCCATAGCCTACTCTTTTTTCCTTTGAGCAATTTTTTCAGTTTTTTAAAACAAAATTGCCCTTTTTTGTTTCTGTATAGTGTGCTCTGCACATTGTACTGTACCTTTGTTGAAAATTATTTTTACTAAGTTTTAAATAATAAATAAAATGATGTTGCCAAACTGATGAGGTTTTGGTTAGCCCTGCTTCATTTGGATGTGTTGAGGGGCTTCTTTAATAAGTATTTCTTGATACATGTTTAATATGCAATTTTAACTAAATTATTTCATGAATAAGAGCAAATAGAAGTTAGATTGTAAAGATTTTCAGAAGTTTCCTTTATTTTATTTGACCCTGGATCTGTGAACCAGCTACCATCAAGGTTAGTTTATGTAAGAACTTTTTCCAAATGTTTTTCTATTTGGCACAATCTTAATTGATGATGATATGTGCTGGAAGGGTACCCCTGAATTAAATTTGGCCTTAGAATACATTAGAGAGACATGGAGCCAGTATTGGTAGAAGTGGAAAGCTTGTGTTAAATACTTTGATGGAAAATGAGAATGGAAGGAAAAAGATAAAGAATAAAAAAGGATGAGAACGAAGGACTAAGAAGATGATGGAGATCACTAAAAAGTGAGGCAAATGGTGCATGGTGATGTAACCAGATTATTTTTCTATAATTAACACATAATTGAATCTGAATAAATAAATGTGAAGGTCTGAGTGTTAAAAATAATAATGGATAGCCATATTTGTATTCTCTTAAAAAATCCCCTCTTTGAGATTTGCAGTGTCTTCAGAGTCCTTTGAGAAAACAGGAAAAACATCATTTGGAAACTATGTGAAGTACAGAGGAATAATAAAGAACAGTTCAAGAGCGAAGGTTAAATTCTATACCATTAGCTTCCATTCTTTTCACACTAGTCTATTTTCTACATGTCAATCAGATCATCTTTGTACTCTCCTGCCCTTTGAAGGGATCTTTTACCTTTTTATGATTTTTTGTAACATCTTGCATAGAATATGTGTTTATTGAGTTATGTAGATCTTTCAAATGTTGACATTTATCATTCAGTGTCAAAAAAATCACATTTGTTCATGTCACCACCAGTTTCATCCAAAAAATCTTTAACTATTGGGAAACTGTCAATTTCACAGGGATGGAAGTTTTGCAGAAGTCTAATTTTCACTTAAAAGCTTCAGTTTTATCATTGGCAACAAACATGTCAGATTTTTTCTTTGAAGTTGCAAGCTCATTTTGATCATCATTTTAGAAAATTTCTGCCAACTATCTACATTGGAATAACCATAATTTGTCTACAGTCATTTTGATAGCTCCCAACTCAGTCACACTAATGCTTTTCCCTGAGACATACTCTGTATGCAGCAGTAGTGCTTTAAGCATTTAGCATCACAAATTGAATGCATTTTGTCATACAGAATATTTTTATAAAATTGTATTCAAATTTCAATACTTAATGAAATTAAGTGAAACTGGCCTTAAGAAACCCCCCCACAAAACTTGGTGTGGGTGAAGAACACATGTCTCCTAGTACATTTTGGTTCCATTACCTCGATCGTAATTCTGTTGTGCCAGCGGCTTACCCAGCCTCACTTTTGTACCATATGTGCAGATGTCATCACAGTGAAGGCACACAGCTTCCTTGTGTTATTATGAAAATAGTTTTGATTTTGTGGGTCACGATGAATTCATAGTTCACACTTTGAGAACTGCTGTGATGCAGGGAGATTGGATTTAGGTTGTGGTTAAGATCTGCTGATTAGGTTTCGGGGAAGGTAAGGTGTCTCTGAGGAAATGATTTTTAAGCCAAGCAAAAGAAATGTATGAAGGCTTTGAAGTAGGCAAGGTTGTTTGTGTCATCAAGGAACTTCAGGAAGACCAGTATACAGAAAGTATTGTGATCAAAGGGAAGAGTAATATAAAAAGGGCCAGTTTATTTGAGACTTTAGAACCCGTTTTAAAGATTTTTGTATTTTATTAGTATCCTCTGGCCATGAAAAAACTTTTTTTTTTCTTTCTTTTTTTTTTTTTTTTTTTAAAGCAGGAGAGTGATAGGACCCAATTTATGTTTCAAAAATAGCACTCTGGCTGACTGTTTTAAGAAATTTAAAAAATGATACATTTAGTTAGGTTCTTTCCATATTTATAGTTTCAAAGTCTTTTCCTTTTACTAAGACTTTAATTAAAAATAAACTCAGGACATACTTAGTAACTTGATTCAGATCTTTCAGAAAGTCTTGCATGGCAGAAAAAGAGCAAAAAGGAATCTTATTTGGGGCCACACACATTTTATTCTTTAGATAAAATATCGGCACTTGCCATGAAACATCTTTCAAAAATTACTTTTGTTACATTATTTAGAATAAGTAGATGAATATTTATGAGGGCAGACACTCAGGTAACTTACGTATTGGGTGCACAGATGACAATCATAGAAAATAACTCCACAAAGTCAATTCTCTGGAGGTACTATATGTGAAAAACATTTATTTCTCAGAGAATGCTTACTGATTCCCTTTACCCCCCATTTTTTCATATTAAAGGTTTCTTTTATGTGTCACAACTGTGATGACATGGTAATATTGAAAAGTTACTTCTTTAACGACAAAGCACCTTGCAGTTTATTAAATAGAGAGTAAGTGACATTGCTTTTATTTATTTGTAAATATATTTTATTGATTTTTTACAGAGAGGAAGGGAGAGAGATAGAGAGTTAGAAACATCGATGAGAGAGAAACATCAATCAGCTGCCTCCTGCACATCTCCTACTGGGGATGTGCCTGCAACCCAGGTACATGCCCTCGACAGGAATCGAACCTGAGACCTTTCAGTCCGCAGGCCGACGCTCTATCCACTGAGCCAAACCGGTTTCGGCGACATTGCTTTTCATGCATTACTCATTTCTCTCCAAAATATTTTTATGGCTTTAGTGTTCCTGGATCTTGCAATGTAGTAAGAAAAAAAAAGAAAAGAAAATGCATTATCTTTTATTTACCCTATTAATATTCTTTTTGTTAGCATATGGCTAACAGAGACCCATTTTGCAATTACTACCAGTTTAATGTGCATTCTTTTTTTCTTCAGTGATACCTAACCTCTTTTGGTTTGTTTTCGGATATATCACTTTAAGGGTTTTATGTTGATGGAACCTCAGCCTCTTTTTTCCTATTATCTCTCAACCAAATGTGGAACTTCACAGTTGAGTGAGTTTCTGCCAAACTGGGAAGAATTTGTTGGGTACACAGTTGGTTAATTCAGACGAGGCAGTTCTTCCCCCAGCAGTCTTAATCTTTTCAGCGAGTGGGTGTCTGACAGAAAGGCGAACAAGGTGAGCAGTCAGTCTTAGAGGAGCAGCTAGGCTTTCCCAGCTGACCTGGGGCCTTTATTTCTGGTGTGCTCATCTTTTGGCCACGGTGAGAACCTTTTTACACTTACTTATGAAATGTTTTTATACCTTGAGTTTAGATTGATATTTTAAAAGTCTTGTCATATTTTAATTATCCTGGATTTCCAGGATTGTTTCCTCAAACATAAAAATGCCTTTTTTTCATACTTGATTCTTGTTCATATAAATACTTGTCATTAGGTAAGTAAGTCACTGAAATACTCAGTTATCATTGTTTATGTCGAACATTAGCTGTAAACAAAATCATGGTGATATTTATGTGCTGTTAAGATAGGAGAACATAGTGGTATTTCTTTTCTTCAATTAGGAATCAGTAGATTTGATCTTTTTTTCTGAAATGGTTATTGAGTTGATCATAATGGTGATGACAAGAAGCATTATCAGTGGGGTCATTCTTTGGCCTGCAACTTTCTGACATGAAAGAATTAGCTTCTGTGTCATTCTTTGTCCATTAATTGAGCAGTGACTAGTCCTTAATTTTCTAAGTATTTAGGCAATCATATATTCCCTTCTTTCTCAGAATTTTTTTTTTTTTTTTGGTCTGTAAGTTTGTATGTGAGTGTGGTGTGTTTGTGTAAGTTTTGTTCATATGAGTCTAGGAGAAAAGAGAAAATGGATAGTTTTGGAATTTAGATTGTAGGGATGTTGGAAATAAAACGAAAGGAAGTTAATTTTACTCCTGATGTCAAGATAAAAGAATTGTAAAGACTTAAGTTATAGTTTAGCACAGTTCTTTTCTTTAGCCTACAGTGCAAATAACACATAATCAAGTTTCTTTGTTTTTGAGAATGACTTCTACTTAAATGGGAACAGAGAAAGCTTATTATACAGAATTCTTCTCAACAAGATGTCTTTTTTCTCTCTCCATGGAAGACATGTGAAAATAGCTTTATCAAAATGCTTCTTTGTAATGATATTTTTCATGAGTTTTTAGAATCTATACTATTATGTATTTTTATTAAAATTGTGGTAGATCTTAGAAGGCAAATTTAGAATGCGTTAGAATTTTGAGATTTTAGTTAATAGCTGAAATGTTTAAAATTCAATTACTATGGTTATTGAAAGCTTTCTAGCTATTGTAAATACAGAGATAATTTTAAACATAACAGGTTGGTTTACTGTAGATAATTAGTAACTGGTATTTCCAGGTGTTGAAGGCCTTCCAACAACAAGAACAAGAACAACAACAAAAAATAAAGGCCTTCCAACAGAAAGACAGACAAAAAAATTAACTTAATTGACTGAGGAGCAGATTATTCATAGGTATGTCAGTTTGCTAGGGCTGCCATAACAACCTGCCACAAACTGGGCAGTTGAAACAACAGAAATTTATTTACCCACAGTTCTGGAGGCTGGAAGTTTGAGATTGAGGTACTGTCAGGATGGTTTCTCCTTGGCTTGCAGATGGGTGCCCTCTTGACGCCTCTCCATGTGGTCACCTCTCTGCGCATGTGTACCCCTGCTGTCTCTTCCTCTTCTTATAAGGACAGCAGTCATATTGGATTCAGGCCTCACCCTAATGGCCTTATTTTAACAAATCACCCCTTAAATACCTTATTTTCAAATACAGTTACATGTTGAGGTACTTGGGGGTGAGATTTCAACATACGAATTTTAGGGGAACACAATTTAGTGCATAAGAGTAGGCAATGAAAGAAAACAGTACTGCATGTAATTTTAAAAATTTACTCATTTTTTCCCCTTTTATTTAATAAGGTTTGTATAGAAGTGCAATTGTTCTGTGTTTTTTGTTGTATATATCCTAGCCGGAGAATTTTCATCCTTGGGCCTTCTCATCATGTGCCCCTCTCTCGATGTGCACTTTCCAGTGTGGATATATATAGAACACCTCTGTATGACCTTCGTATTGACCAAAAGAGTAAGTATAAAGAAATCATAAAGCTTATAAACAGCTAACGGTTTTTAAATAGGAATTATAAAATGTGAATATCATAGTAATATCTCAAAAAATAAAACTTGTTGTAATTAATCTACAAAAAATAAAAACAAAGAAAGAAAAATCTTCTATGTGCTTAAAAGACAATCACAGTTTTTCTGCCAGCCGCAAAAATCTGTCAGATCCGCTAATCTCCAGACTGTAGGAAAATACTCTGTACTCATTATACTATGAGACAAGAAAGTGGTACCCATCACAACTTGGTGAAAGATTCTGGGCAGGTTAGTCAGTACCTCTATGTATATCACTTTCCTCACTGTAAATAGATAATGGTGATAATGCCTTTTTTTCCTCCCAAATTATTTTTATGGGAAAAAACGAGCCTGTAGTTGTGAAACTTGAAAAGAAAGGTGCTACGTAAATCTTAAGTGCATTTTATTTTTAAGATGTTGATTAGTTTGATTTATTTTTTCCATAGGCTTTCAGAAATCACATTTTTAATTTACTTGGGCATTATTTTAAATATTGGATGTGTAAAGTAAAACTTACTGACTTTGAATAGTAGTTTTGGAGGATGGGAGCATAATTTAAAAAATACAGAATAGTACAGAAAAAGTGTTACAAATACTCATCATCCAATATTTACTCAGAATTTCCCCCTCATCTGAACTCAATTTATATTTCCACAGTAACTACCTTTATGGACTTGGTATATATCTTTACAGTTCATTAAATTATATTTTAAGTATGTTGAGTGCTTATTTCAAGAAATTTTACAAAATATACTAATGTAGAGTGAAAGAAACCATTTACAAAGGAAAATGATCGCCTCTTTTTTTCCATAGTTCTCTAGTCCTAAATTTCCATAATTTTGGCTTTTAAGAATCATGGAGTATCAGCAATTTGTTAGAATATATCTTATGAGTAAAGCTGGAATATTGCTACCCTTACTCCCTAGGTTTTTAGGGGACATACTTTATTTTTAAAACTTGGTTGTGGCGTTCAGAAAATTTTGGTATTGGATAGCCTGCCAAAGAAGGAATGGAATGTTTTTAATCAGATATATTTTTGTAGAAAAAAATCTTAGCACCATTTGTAGTTCTCTTTTTGATATTGGTAAACCCATTTTTCTGATGTAGTTATAAAATGTTGGTTCAGGTGCTAGCTGATAGTGCAGCGGTTCTCAACCTGTGGGTCACGACCCCTTTGGGGGTCGAACGACCCTTTCACAGGGGTCACCTAAGACCATCGGAAAACACATATATAATTACATAGTTTTGTGATTAATCACTATGCTTTAATTATGTTCAGTTTGTAACAATGAAATTGGGGGGGTCACCACAACATGAGGGACTGTATTAAAGGGTCGCGGCATTAGGAAGGTTGAGAACCACTGCAATAGTGCTTCTGCCTGTGGACTGAAAGGTCCCTGTTTCGATTCCGGACAAGAGCACATGCCCAGATTGTGGGCTCAATCCCCAATAGGGAGCGTGCAAGAGGCAGCCGATCAGTGATTCTCTCTCATCATTGATGTTTCTCTCTCTCTTCTTCTCCCACTCCCTCCCTCTCTGAAATCAATAATGATTATAAAAAAATGTTGGTTCAGTTCTATGATAAGACAAAAACACTCAATTTTTTTACATATTAATTTAATTTCATCATTTTCTTGCTGTACAATATTCAGTTTTAAGTATAATTCATCACAAGGGTCTGAATTACTAGATCACTTTAATATTATTTATGGCATGGTACTGTGGTAAATTTATGTTCTGGTCTATCCCATAAGCTTTATTTTTAATTTCGAGGGAAATAGCATTCTTAGTGGGAATTTTCTATTCTTAACTATGGCCAGAACCTGAGGTGTGAAATAATAATCCTATACATTTATAAGTAGACCAGTGATTTCCATATTTCAGTAGGAGTTCTAATCAGCTATGCTTTTGTTAGCCTGTACTGATTAAAGTTAAGGAAAGGCTTACACCTGGAGGTGATTTTTGTTAAAATGAAAGCAACTGATGAAAAATTTAAATTATTACTTACATAACTGTATCCTAGAAATGCTGAGTTATTACATATATTATTGTTTTGTCTGATATGTAAAAAGCAAGCCTCTTCTTTTTTAAAAATAAAAATGGAGGAAAAAAAGAAGGAGAATATTATGTGGTGCTTCTACCTCTTGCCAAAGCATGTAGTTTTGTATTACTGGGTGGAGTCTCACGGGTTAAGGATATACATTAATATATTTGTTTTACTATATTTTGAAATCTCTTTAGTTTACGGAGAACTATGGAAGACAGGAATGTTTGAACGCATGTCTCTGCAGACAGATGAAGATGAACACAGTATTGAAATGCATTTGCCTTATACAGCTAAAGCCATGGAAAGGTATATTGATTAATATAAGAAATCCCAGAGAAATCATAGATATTAATTTCTTTGGAATTATTTTAACTACGGTAAGATAATCATTAGGGTAAGGAGATTAAAAAATGTTGGGTGGGGCTTAAAACAATACAAATGTAGTGTCTCATAGTTCTAAAAAATATTTTTTATTTGAAATGAAATAAAAATTTGAGGTTGGATTTTCTTAATGTGGATTGAAGTTGGTTTTTGAATAGTTTGCCTATGAAATCTGAACATGTGAATTGAATTGTTTGTTTTATTAGGGGGAAATATAAAAAAAACAAACCCGTGTGTTTGTGTGTGTGTGTGTGTGTGTGTGTGTGTGTGTGTGTGTGTGTGTGTTTATTGGTTTGCCTATTACTTTACTCATTAGACATTTATATATCTTAAAATAACAATTGTATTCTTTTATGGTATGATGCCATAAGTAATAACAACCTTTTAGATTTGGGATCAATATTGGAGGTCATTTATTTCAGCTTTACACAAAGTACATGAATCTCTTTTATAATATGCTTGTTAGGTTATTATTTGGTGTCTGCTAAAGGTCTTCCAGTGATAAGGATACTCAGTAAACTATAAGTATGTTGAGGATAGGGACAATATCTATTTTATTCTCCAATTATACCTCAGTACCTAGCACAATGCCAGTCACAGAACGTCCATTAATTTGTTTTGGTACAATGAAATAATTATTTTAAGAGCTTTCTTTTAGGTCAGCATTCAAATAAGAAAGTCTTCCTTTTGTAGGTCACATTTCTCTCATTTTCAACCATTTTCTTTATATGGACTTAATATTCCACGTATAGTTTGACTAGTTTTAAATATGGTGAGATTATTCCTTTTTGGCTTGCCATTACTGTATTCTCTTAGTAAAGTATGTGGTGCAGTTTAGGTTCTCAGAAAATATGTGTTAGTTAATTGCATTATTGAAGCTTGAGATTGTATTAACATTTTTTGTGCTATTGTGGCAAATGTACTGTGGTCCGCCATAACCCAAGGTTTTTTCATATTGTTAAACTGGATTATTTTATCCTCTTGTACTGTTGTGGTTGATTTCTTTTTAACCCTACATATGTGTGTGTGTGTGTGTGTATATATATATATATATATATATATATATCCTCATTACTTATGTGTAATTTTGTCTTGTTGGTTTTAGTCCATTATTGCTGTCTTTCTTGATCATTTCCACTCTTAATTTTGTTATCAGAGTATTACTTACTTCTCTTGGTCTTATGTTATTGATAATCTGTTCACAAGGATAACTATGAGGACCTTCATAAATCTGGAGAAGTTTCTAAAAATCATTGTGATTAAATTATAAGCAGTTTAATTTTAGGTTAATTGTGTTTTAATACATTATAATTCTTCAGAAATTGTTAAAGCAATATGTGATGTTTATTTCTTGGAATGTTAGTATAGGGAGCCCTATAAAAAGAATTTCTCTCATTTTTTTCTTAATCAAATTCACTTTCAAACCACAGTTACATACATCCAGCCTTTATGCAGAATAATTTCACTGTCAAAGAACAAACTAAAAAGATCTATTGAAATGTTCCATTCTTTAATTATATAGGATAATAGAAATTTTTTGTTATTTGCTGAAATGTTTGCACATTTTGTCATTAGAAAACAGATATTTTAAACTTAATAGATTTTAATACAGTAGAACCAATAAGCTGCCAATAATATCCTTAAGGAGTTTTTTTTTTTTTTTTTTTTAACAAAATAGCATTTTTGTTATTTCAAAAGTAAAATGTGCATTGTGTAAAATTTAGAAAAATAGGAACTTAAAACCAACAAGCAAAATTTTTGTTCATAATTTCCCCTCTATTAAATAATATTATATAACCACTGTTAAGTATCACTTCTTAAGAAAACCTTCCCTGTCTTGCAGATTATATTAGGATCCCTAAGATTGACTCTTAGAAAGTACCCACTTTCTAAGTACTTTAAAGTGTAATTTCCCTTTGTAGCCTTTCCTATACTCACCACCTGTATTAGCTGTCCATTACTAAGTAACAAATTACTCCAAAACTTAGTGGCTTGAAATCACAACTATGTTATTGCTCACAATTTTTGGGTCAGGAAGTTTGGCAGGGAACACCTTGCTGTAAAATGTTGACTAAGGTGGCTGGAATAGACTAGAAAATAGACTAGTTACAGACATAGTTAAAGTTTCTTAGCAAAGGGAGGAGGGAGATGATTAGAACCTATTACTTCTTGATGGTGTGAAGGATGGAATAGGGTTGGAAGAGATGGATAGAAATAGTTTAGTAAAGAAACCACAGTTGCTTTGAACTAAGGAAGATGTGAATGGGGTAGGGGTAGGAAAGTGAGCAGGTTATGGGAGACATTTAAAAGTTAGAACCAATAAAACTTGGTAAATGTTTATATGTGGGGGAGTAAGATGATTTTAAGAAAACGCAAAAGTTTAAGGTTTAATAGCATGCCATTATCAGAGAAAGTAAAGCCAGCAAGCAGTAGGTATACATTTAAGAGAACATAAGATATGGAAATATTGACTTGCTTCTAACAAAATACTGAATTTCTCTAATAAACTTGGCCAACTCATGATAGGGTATTTTTTGTGTGTGTTTTGTTTTGTTTTTGACTTCAAATAGTTGAGTTTACAAAATAGAGTTTAGTATGGCTCTCAAGTACCTGAAATAAGCCTGCCCTTGTAAAATCTTTATCAGTATTCCTACTCAAATGAAAATTCAGAAAGATATAGCCTTTGAGATTAATTTTGAGAGTCTCCTTAGATTCACTTAACTGATCAAACAGTAAAGATTTTTAATAATTTAAATGTTAACTTTAGTTGTCATTGACAGCCAGCTTACTTATTCCCTCTCTTCTCTCTCCCCAGTTCTTTAGCTCTGCCTGATGTTTAATAGATCTTTTTAGTTTGTTCTTTGACAGTGAAATTATTCTGCATAAAGGCTGGATGTATGTAACTGTGGTTTGAAAGTGAATTTGATTAAGAAAAAAATGAGAGAAATTCTTTTTATAGGGCTCCCTATAATGCTTGTCATTATGATTCCTTTATTTCATTTTGCCTTTAACACCTGTTTCAAGAGTTCTACAACCAGCCTCACATTTGAAGACTCACTAGACCGATTCGCCGTTGTATTCCTGACTATGGTTTATTAGAAAAGATATACACAGCAGGACCAGCAAGGGAAAAAGACACATTAAGCAGAATCTGGAGGAAGCCAGGTGCAGGCTTCCAAAGTTCCTCCCTTTCATAGGGTGGGCCGAATGGAATGTGCTTTCTCCTGCGGTGTAACATGTGTCTAACGTTTCTGGCCAGGCAAGCTGCTTTTCAGATTCAAAACCATTCCTGGCTGATGTGGCTCAGTTGGTTGGGCCTTGTCCCATGCACCAAGAGGTTGCAGGTTCGATTTCTAGTCAGGGTCCATGCCCCAGTTGCAGGCTCGATCCCTTGTGGTGGGCCTGCAGGAAGCAGCCGATTGATGTTTCTCTCTCTGTCTCCCTCTCCCTTTCTCTGTCTCTTTAAAACATTCAATAATATTTTGGTAAAAAGATTTAAAATCAGGTTTTATTTTATTTTTAAATCCAGGTTTTTTTATCAGGAGCTGGTTATGTAGACACTCACTGTCAGCATAACTAGGCACAACTACTGAAATTCCAGACTCCCAGAAGGAAAGCAGGTGTTAGCTATAATGACATTTTTATAAACAGCTAGGCAGTCTGGTACAGTGTCTCATGGGGATAAAGCAGCCTTAATCACATAAGGAACATTGTAAAAGTCAAGTTCCCAGATGTCACCAAGGACAGTCTTACAAGCAGGCCCTTCTGAAGATTGCACAGCAGACCTGCAGAATTGCCACTCCTCTTTCCCAATTCCAGGCTGCCATTACGCTATTCCAACTTTCTGATTTTTTGATTCACTTACATGCCACCCTAACCCTTATTATAGCTTAAGTTTGTACTAGGTCTAAAGATTTTACTTCCCTTTTTGATTGTGGCCTCAATTAAGTCTTCAGATATTGAAAATGCCAGAGAAAAGTAAGATGTGTTCTTGAATAGGTCATCTTTAACAGAGGGGAATGGCTTGTCTCTGGACATAGAAAGAAGTCTGAGATTTTTCTACCTCTGTCCAGCTTTAATGACAGCCACAGGAACAGTGCCATTTTCAAATGTGTTCTTACTCTTACTTTTTAAAAAAAAAAAATTTATTGATTTCAGAGAGGAAGGGAGAAGGAGCGAGAGATAGAAACATCAATGATGAGAGAGAATCATTGATTGGCTGCCTCCTGCACATCCCCTACTGGGGATCAAGCCCACAACCCAGGCATGTGCCCTTGGCCGGAATTGAACCTGGGACCCTTCAGTTTGCAAGCTGACGCTCTATCCACTGAGCCAAGCCAGCTAGGGCTCTTACTTTGACTTTTATACTCATGGTTATTTGTGTATTTCTGCATATGTCTTGCAGTTAAGTATTTTTTGTTGTTATTTACTGAGATTTTAGAACAAATGTGGATTTTCTTTATGTTTCTGAGTTTTCCTTTTTTATATATGTTTTGAGTATTACCTGTACATCAGTAAGAGATTATTTAGAATTATAGGGCATAGAGGATCTCTAGAATATAGCTAAAACATTTTTGTTTGTTGTAATGGAACAGTTTCAGTTTCTATGACCATGAATAGTGCTGGGGTCCAACCCCAGCAGGTCCAGGGGTCCCCAAAGGTGTGGACGGAGTCGGCGAAGAAGGAAGGACACAGAGACAGTGTTCAGTTGACCAGCAGCCAAGCCAGGATCTCCAGCCAGGATCTCCAGCCAAGTTCTGGTCTGGATCTCCAGTGAAGTTCTGGTCTGGATCTCCAGCGAAGTTCTGCTTAGGATCTCCAGCCAGGTTCTGTGTCCATGTTCTCTTGCTAGGTTCTCCAGGTTCTCCAGCCAGGTTCTGTAGCCATGTTCCCTCGCTAGGTTCTTCAGCCAGGTTCTGTCCAGG